CTGAGCTTTCTGCACCAGAGTATGTTTAGGAATGGAATAAGAAATTGAATCCTGGAATTTGAATATTTTTAAGAGTATATGAAAAATACTCTTTCAAAATTAGCATTCATTGAAACTTTAAGGGGAAAGTTTCAAAGCCTCTTTTTTAAGTGGGTAGTTTCTTGTACTTAGCTGGGTTATCATTGCACTGTTCTTTCTGTGGCTTCAAATTAGAAAAGACTGAGCATTTGTTTGCTTGTCTAAACTTCATGTATGAGTTATTGTTTAATTGCTACCATTGCTGATTTTTTAAAAGTACATGTAATACCATTATTAAAGATGTCTGTTACATCTTTGTGATTAACCCCCACTGATTTGATAAACACTTAGAGCATTTGCTTTGGTTGTAACCCTGTGTTTTCACTTCAAACGCAGGCTTATTTTTAGAATATTGTTAGGCCTGTTGTTTCCGTAGCTATGGAGCCCAAGCAAGGAAGCCATGGCCTTCCATTACCCAGCTGTTGGACTAAACCTCTCCTGGAATCCCCATTATGTCCAGCTGTTAGGGTCAGATAGCTTCAGGAGCAAGTGTCTTGCTGCCATGCCAGGGGAGATCCACGAAGACACATACCACTTCTGAAGGAGCAGTATGGATCTCAGAGGCTCTGTTTGATTTCACTTCAAGGGATGTGGTCAAAGTTGTGAAAGCCCCACAATTGGCCTTAGGGGCTGGTTGTTCCATTCTGAAAGACCAGTTTTCAGTAGTGAGGATGGGCACACGTTTATTCCTCAACAAGATGTGCCAGGGCTTGATGAGTAAATAAAGCAAAAGACACGGATCTGTGTCTCTGTGAGACTTGATGCACTGATGTTAAATAGACCTGTGCATCTCACCTGAAAAAGAAGCACACCTGATGGTGTTGGCCAGATACTTAGCAATAGCTGGGTTATCTTTTTTAATTGGAAACTATTTTATGTTATGCTTTTCTAAAAGCAAGCACTGGTGTCCCATCATTTTCACCTGCCAAAGGGCCCTGCCCTGTTTAACAGGTGCCCAGTCAGAAGGTGCTTCAGTTTGATGAAATTGAGAGGAGGTATGCCTTGCAGTGGGATTGCTGATATCAGGCACAGATCTTACAGATAAAAATTGCATTATCTGGAACCTTTTTATTCTGATTTTGTGTTGTGAAGTCATGAGCAAGCCTGGCAGACTTGATGCAAATTAGGATACAGAGTTGAGGCTGTCATCTGTTAATACCTCAATTCTCTACAGGTGAAATAGTGATGATGGCTAGTTCTTTGTGCCACTCTGTCCACCTTCTATATTTAGGGTGTCAGATCACAGCAGGAGGAGACTGCCTCTTTCTAGGTGTGTGAATACCCAGCTTTGGTCTTATTTTAGTTTTAAATGATACAAATAGAAAGTAGTAATAACAAATGTAAAATCTTGTCTTTGATTTGTTCCTAAAACATTAGTGGAGGTATCACAGAGTGTCTACAACATACAGGGCACACACTTTGAGAGTGGATATTGAGGTAAGTACTTACACTGAAGAGAGGTGCCTAGGTCTTTCCTCTGGGCAGAGGATTTGGGCAGGCACCTCCAGCACGTGGTGCATCTTGCTTGGGGTCCATACCACCCTCAGATGATACCTCTGTCTCCTGATTCGAGGGGGAGCCCAGGACAAGTGGGTGTCCAACTTTTGTTACTGCTTCCTATGTGAAGGTGAGTAAAATGGTTTCTTTTGCCCCTATCAACATCATACCTTCCCCAATAAGAAGCTTTCCCTAGAAGGTACTGGACAAAAAACAAGACTGAAAACAAACCATTTGTTTTCACGCTGTATTTTTACCTGTTTTATTTATGCTTTGACTAGAAATGTGTCAGCATTTTCAGGAAAGAGCAAACAGACTGTTTCATCCCACTGACAGATTGATTTTTGCAGATTTCTGTACCCTTGTTCTTTTACAACACAAAAGAGTTTGGATTCTTTTTGTTATTCTTGTAGTAAAATTTTTCCCATGACAATTTATGAGTTTTTCTTGCCTGCTTTTGTTGTGGTTTTTTTTTTAAAAAAAACCCCTTGTTTCTGCCTTTTTATTTTACCTTTTTTGTGACCAGCATTCACCCACCTTGTCCTATAGAAATTAAATCAGATGGATCATGTCAAAGATCAGCTGAGCTGGGATGAGGTATATTCTTTCTTAATCTGAATGCTGATGTAAATGTAAAACTTTTTTTTTCACAGTTCTATGAAGACGCTGCTTGAAGTGTATAAGTAATTTTAATCAGAGGACTTGTATGAATAACAATTACTTTTTTGCACTGAAATACAATATAATTTACCTTGAAGAAAATGTTCTGGCTCTGCACAGTGCTAGACTGTACATTCAAAATTTATGTTTTTCAAGACCCTTTCCTTCATTGTAGTTCAGAATTGCCTTGGTGGGTGCTCATTTTTTTGAAATACATCTGCCTTGATTACACACAAAGACACAAGTTTTTAGGAGGAAACCTTGACAAGCAACCAGTGTTGGCTTAACTCTGCTCCTGGTGATAGCTACAGAAATTATAACATTGATTTCAATGGGAACAGAATTAAGGCAACTGTAAGTACTTCTGGAAACATTACACCACCTTGTTAATCAATTGTATTTAACTATAGCCGTTAATAAAAACACTCCAAAAGATAAATAATAATAATCAAGCTCTGGCTGCTTAAAAAATGCAAAATGCTTTAAAGTCATGTAAAACAAAACCTGGTTTTATGTAAACAGGCAATATCGAGTAAGCAGGAATTCATGGTCCCATCTAGATGTTAATTGTACTTCGATATTTAAATGGGGATTGGTCATAGGCATAAAACACCTAAATACTTTAAAATATATTCATAAATAATCATTCTTTATACATCATAATTGTTCTTACTGCATGTCAAAAACACTGACTTCTGTATAGCCCAGGAAAGAAAAATGAAATATTATTTTTGCTTTTGGCATAAAAAAAGTAAAAATAAAGAACAAGCACCACCCCTAAGGGAGTGCATGGAATGTTACCAAATTGGTCTTTATTTGCCTTAGCTTTTTTTTTTTTTACAAAGGTTTTAAATATAGGTTCATATGTAAACACTGTGCACGCACTGAGAGTTTGATCCTGGCCTGTTGAAATCAATGGCAAATTTCCCATTAACTGCAGTAGTGCAAGATCAAGCTCCACATTAGTACAGTACGTGCAAGCCTAAGTCATTGAGGGAGCCATGGATTCAGGAAAGCAAAAGCTCAGGTTCTTGTTTCAAAACCAGCTGCCAGCAGAATCAGATTTTGCACCGAAAACCTTCCTGCACATGTTGGAGTTTTCTTGATGGAGAGGATATTCATTCCCTGCCAACACTGTTGCTTTCCCTCCCTTTGCAGTGTACCTCCTGCCAGATGGCAGACTCTCATACTTGGTCACATAACTCCTGCAAAGACACAAGGTGGTCTGGCATTAGCAAATTGATACAAAATTTGTACCCCGTTGCAAAGACTTTACATACAGATGAGATTACACTTCCAAAATGTGTAGATCAGAAGGTGTTTCAGTGTCTGCAGGATAATAGAGACTGTTTTCTTAGGATTTCCTGAAGATCCTCAAGTTCTTTAATTCCTCACAGGTTTCTACCATCTTTTGGATCAGAAAAACCTGAATGGAAATCTGGCACAGGCTTTCCAAATGTTATCCTCCTTAGGTTTTAGCAAAAAGGGATCAGGAGGCAGTGGTAAACCCAATTCAATTACTATTCTTTGGCTACTGGAAAGCATCTTTTTAACCTTATTGCACAGTTGTTTAGCTTTCAGGAAAATTGGTGCTCTAATAAAATACGATCAAACATGATGGTTGCAAGAGCTTAACACACCAGGTACTTTTGTTGACTCTAGTAAATAGCAGATGATGAAGAAAACCTTCCACTCCAGCTAGTTTATAGCTATGCAGTTCCTATCTCAACAGTGTAATAGAGAACTACTGCTGGCAAAATTTCAGGTCACAATCAGAGCTGATTGTGTGCTAGGGGAACAGTGTCCTGCCACTTCAGTTAGTTCACTTGCAAAACCAAATTTAAAAATTGGACTAAAGAGCAAATTCAGAGCAAGTTGGGATCTTTGAAAAGATTCTCTCTGAATCTCAGGGGTGAGGGATGGGGAAGAATGGGTTAGCAGAGGGGTTGGTGTATGTAGCAGCCTACATTACACCTAATTGTGTCAGGCTGAAATTTGGCCTCTGTTGTTACTGTCTTGTGGCTGGGGAAAACCAAAGGGTCAGCAGGTATGTGGGAGGACACCTCAGTGATTGTGTGCTCTTAGTTCTTACCTGAATGGAGACTCGACTCTGTCCATCTGCATACAGACTAAAAATGGGTACTGTGAAAACTGCACAGTGGAGATGAAGTCTAATGCTGTTTCTACTTCCAAAGTGGTTTCCACGCCAGTTTTTACAAAGAAGGAATCAACCTCGGTGTTACCAGCTAAAAACACGGCTACCCTACAAAGAAATTAAGGCATCATAATTATTTCAAAACACATTAGGAAAGAGAAAATTAAATGACAAACAGTCCTAGCATACATACATAAAACTGACCTCAGAGGAGCCTGTTCTTGAGGTAAAGGTTTATAAATTCAAATGAGACCAGTGGGAACTGGTATTACCCAGGTGGAAATAAGAAGTACAAATGTTCTCTCATGCTCATAACTATTTAATTATATTTATGTAATTATTTAATTATAACTTCTCTGCATGGTTTTTAATATTTAAATTCTTCTCACTGGGAGTACCACAGCTCAGGAGCCTGAGCTATCTACAACTGTAGCATGTGCTGGGAGTATCTCACCTGTTCTTTACGTTGGTTTTGGATTCCCTGTACCACAGGCTGAACTCCATCCCTCCTGAGATGTCAATGGCCAGTCCACCCAGGAACTCTGCACTGGCTATCGGCCCAGACTGCAGCTGAATCTCCTGCAGACACCAGAAAGCACAGGTTACTGACTGCAGACCTCAGAGGTTTCCTTATTTGCTTTTGTACTGCAATCACCCCAGGATTTCAGGAACAAAAAGGAATAGAGGGCCTTTCTGAAAGGCTGGACATATCCTGATGTACCTTACTCCCTAGAAAATGGGATGAAACTAAGGCAGGGTGGCTCACATCCTTCTCCTCTCCCCTGTGTGCCAGCTGGCATAATTTCTGCAAGGAGTATCACTGCAAGGAATATCATGTATCCAAGAGCTACCATGCAAGCCTACCAGAGGTTCTGATGGCAGCCCAGCTAAATCAGATTAAACTCCTCACTGGAGCCCCAGCAATGGTGCAGTGCAGAGTGACTTCTTCAGCACACCTGAAGGTAGCCCTGTACTGGCAGTAGGATGCAAAGTGCTGCCACCACTTCTGCCATGTGCGGTGGCTCCAAACCCACCATATGACAGGAATTATGTCTTCAGTGTCTGGGTGGCCAAATCCATAAGCTAATACACCTTAATCACCACTGTGAATTTGCATTTAGTGCATTTTCCATCAACCATCAAGTGTGCTCATGGCTTCATGAAACCTCTGCAGCTGGACTAGAAACACATCACATGGAATTCCATTTCGTAAGTGATAACATAGCTCAGGGTCATGGCAGTTCATTACTTTCGAGTTTTGACCTACAGCCAAGATTTTAAGGTTCACCCAGCTTGGCAATCTAACTCACTTTATACAGTTGTCCTGCTTCCCTAAGAACTAGTGGATTAGGTCACACCTTTTTAAAAGAAACATTAATTTGGGAAAAGCTTGCTTTGATCATGTCCTTCACATACAGGACACCTCCTCCTGTCTCAGCTGGCTTTCTCCCTCCTCCCAGGTTTCTGTGCCTGTGGTATTCTCAGCACCTGTAATGCTGCAGACATTTGTAGGACAAGCAAATACTCAATTTCCTTCCCCTTTCCACTGCCCAAGCACCTTAGAGGTCTCTCTTCTCTTCTTAGCTATTCAGTAGTCCAGTGGTTCCAACTAATGCTGTCCCAAGATTTAAGAAAGAAGCAAGCAGAGACAATCAGCCTAGTTCCCTAATCCATATAGCAAGGGGGAGGTTTCTATTCAGAGCATTAAAGTTTTCCTCCTGTAATCAAGGACTTGGATAATTATGGTGGCTGTACATGGTTAGTTCACCTTTTGGGGTAAATTAATCTTTGAAATTATTTCCTTGACAGAACCAACTTGGCAGAAGCAACTTGGCAGTGAGCTGCTGCTAAAGGGGGCTTGAGAAAGCAGTGGCTTATGAATCCAGCATGCCTCCAACAAGTGTTGTCATATGATGCTCTGATTTCTTATTCCACCCAATTAAAAATCATGGATTGGAATTGTGCTCTTTCTGAAATCAAAGTGAGTTTTTCTACTGACTGCAGTAGAGCATAAAATACTTTCTCTGTCCCTCTGTTGTGTGAAGATAAAGCTTGTTTTACTTTATTTTACCTTACTTCTAATTGGGACTGAATTGGTGGATAGCTGTTAATGAGTGAAGGAGGTAACAGTAGACATGCTGGCAGAGACATTACACACAATCAGAGGAGCAGATATTTTTAGATGCATTGTCAAATTTCACCCAATAATATTAAAGTAGGCTAGGTTTGCAATGCCTCCACAATTTAAGGCTTAAATGCTCCCTAGAATTAAGTTGTATTTGTCACTGAAACCAGCAGAGAAGTTAAGGAGCACTTGTCTTGTGTTTTACTAGCTCATCTAGTTCCTTATTTAGAGCTCAGTCCTGTCCTTCGTCTCATGTGCAAATCCAATCCAGGCTGATGGGAGGTGTAAATCACAGGGACCCAGCCCCCTCAGGAGAAGTATTTTCCTTTCCCTTCCTATTTTAAGCTTTATGTCTCATTTGCAGTGGAAAAAGTGATCTGAAGGATCAGAATTGGTCGTGTGGTACTGGTTAAAATGCCGAAACATGCTACGTTTCAATAAAAAAAATTCTTGATGTAGTGAACTGACAGTGCTTACTGTAATGCAATGCAGAGATGGCTGTCTTCCACTGGGGTCTGGCTTTCAAATGGTTTCTCTGACCTATTAATACAGTATTTAATTTCTCTGTGCTTCTGGCAGGCGTGTTGCCTAGGAGAACGATTAACACTACTGAACTTTAATGCAGGTGACTTAGGAGTCTCAAAAACAGTTTTATGAGAGCCCTTTATTTTATAGAGGGAATATAACTTCTGGACAGGTACTCTTAGCTGCCAAACAACACTGTGAGATCTGGCAGTGACTGTAAAATACACTCTGATTTCAGTTTCTGGAGTTATGTGAGTAAATATGTCACAGATGGTGGGCAGGAGTGTAACTATTAATAACTTGGAAATCACCCCTCCAAAATGTACCTGTTGTGATTACTGCAGTTGTAAAGTTAATTAAAGCTTTTTTTTTTTTTTTCTTTGTGGGTGGTGGTGTTATTTGGTAGATTTTTACAGCACTTTGTGTACAACCCAGTTTTGGACTTTCTGTGCAAAATGATCTCTATAAATGGCAATAGGGGAGCAGAACTTTTCTAATATTGAGAAATAGTTTCTCTCAAAATCAGGCTGCGCCAATGCAAAATTTGAACCCAAATATTACCGAAGTTCTTTTCTGACAATTCAATTACCCCATTTTTAAGTTTCAGTCTTGGCTTCCAAGCCATCCTTTTGCTGTTTGATCTCATCTGTGCTGTGTCTTACATTTGGTTTTCACCTGTTTTGAAATCACAGCGACCAGCTGTGGCACACTGAGTTTTGGAATTGTAGAATGGGCACTGTTTTCCATACCTGGTTTTCTTCATTGAAAGAAGATAAACCATCATGTGGCTTGGTTGTCTACCACATGAGTTTGTAAAGAGGCTTATGTTCTGTGCAAGGCCTGTCCGTGCTGGCCCGGGAAAGTGGAGGTAGCATTTGGCTATCAAGAAGCTAGATTAATTATGGCTCTCTTGCACTGGTTTTTCCCCAGTTCCAGTGTTAGGCCATTTGCACGTCCATTCTGACAGTGCTTTCTGGTACAGGTGTAAACACAGTAGAAGAACTTGCAGGTGAAATTGTTTCTAATGAAGGTTAACTGGGCCAGGTGGAAGTGCCGAAACTACATTGATGTGCTCCTGACCTGAAGCATAGCTGTAAAACCATTGTTTGAAAGATGGGCCATGCTTAAAACACAGCTCAGCATGAAGCTCTGGTCAACAGTATTCTAAACAGTCCTTGCCTTTGTGGGATGTAGAGGTAAGAACAAGTGTCTTTTTGGTTGAGGTCCTCTGCTTGAGTCCCAAAAAGCTTAGCCAGCAGTGTGCTAGTGGCAACCTAAGAGAGAAAGCAGGGTGGGATTGCATCTCATCACACTGCTGCCCAGGCTTCCAGAGTCAGTGATCGACTGAAAATATCGCACCCTGATACTGTTAAAAATGGCACACAGTTCCAGCTGTGGAGTGCCCCAGACTTTTGTCAGGTTCTCCAAAGGCAAGGAGTGGAGAATTTGCTGGCTGACAGAGCTCTAGGGGTGCCCAGACAGCTGATTCAACCTGACTATGTATAGATCTTGGTGTATGCACAGCAGTTGGAAATATGTAGTTCTCTAAATGCTCCTATGCTCATGACTGGACATGATTATCTTTCTCACCTCTGTGGTCTGTTTGGTAAATAAGTCACAGTAAAGTTTTTTGCCCATAATCTGCATGTGAACTGTAAAGCATTGTTGGAATGAGCTTTAGTTAGCCAATTTGTGCACTACCTGGGAAGCATTCTAGACTTACAATACCATTATAAAGGGATTGAACTGGGTTCCAGATGGGGGAAGCTGTCATTTGCAGAGTGTTTCTGTGTCATTTTGATCAGAGTGGATTGTCTCATCATCTGCTTTTGGCGTTTTCTCTTGCCAAGAATTAAAGTGGAAAAGTAAAAAGTAAAGTTTGAGACTGCAGATGTATCATGAGCTGAGTACAGCTGTTAAATCCGCAGGTTCTAAGGAGATCCCTGTTCAGGAAGAACAAAACTATCAAACCCACTGCTGACCCTGCACTTTGAGAGAGATGTCTAGATACAGGTTCTAAGGAGATCGCTGTTCAGGAAGAGCAAAACTATCAAACCCACTGCTGGCCCTGCACTTTGAGAGAGATGTCTAGATTCTTAGTCCTCTGATAATACATTATGTAGCCACTTATATTTGTATGAATCTATTTGAGTGTAAAATTAACAGACCAGTTGGGGTTACAGTTGGATAAAAACTGTGTAATCCTCATTTTAATTCCTTGTTTTGCTAGTAATAAACATTTGAAATTTGGACCTCTTAGCATTGTTCTTTGGAGGTTAGTTATCTGGGAAAGTTTGAGTACCAGTGATTAATTCATCTGACATTTATTGCCTAATTGGACATAAGGTCCCTGGACAACTTGTGAAGAGAAAAACTTAGGTGGTCACATGGGACAATATTGTATTACAAGAAACTGTGGGAGGGGAGGTCGTTGCTGATAGCGACCTGAGTTTTCAACAGGAAATTCAGTTGGATTTGCTTTTATTCAGTTTTAATTTGTTTTCCAGAATATGTTCTAGATTTCTTTTCATGTGATTTCATTCTGGTTTTTAATGACTTTTCTATTGCTCCCATAGTAAGAGTAGCCTGTGTAACATCAATCAGTTTTATCAGCATTGAAAAGAAAGAAAATAAGGTGTCCTACAATAACAGTGGGGGGAGGTAGCATCTGTGTTTAAGAGACAGAAAAAGAAGCAAAGAGTGTGCTATTAGTACCTGTGAGTAATCTGTCAGAAGGATAAGTCCTTTCACCACGTTCATGGGATCTCCAGTTGCTGAGAGCATTTTAGACATTAAATCACCATACCCTTGGAAAAATGTAACTGGCCTGAGCTGAACATCAAACAGAATGGCTGACATGCCAGCAAAGGAGTCCAGGTTTTCCTCGCCTTCATCAGGAGTTGCTGCTATTATGGACTCCAGACCTTGAGCTTCAATCACCACCTACGATATAGATATCGTGATATAGAATCAATGAAAAAAAATCTGCCTGACCCAGACTATTAACAACCCTACATATTTTCTTAATGTCTAAGAGCCTAAATAATTTATGTAGTTGTAGATGAAAAGTATGAGGTTAAGACAATGGAACTAGGTAAAGCAACTAGAAAAAAGGAAAACAAAATAATCTCATAGCATATTTTTTTCCCATTAGATGCAGGCAGGATTTACCCATGTGAAGATCACAATCCTGAGACTACTTTTCTTTCAAATTAATTTTTCTTTAATCATACGACAATTTTCCATGGACAGCTGGGAGGAAAACTCAGAGATGTTCCACTGCACAATTTTTGTCCTGCATAAATTCAGGAGGACTATAATATTGAAGGTTCTTGCCAACATTAACAAAAGCCTAAAACACAGGCATCTAGTTTAAATCTCTTTGATTTGTACATTTGATCTACTCCTTGTAGTTCCATTCTATCACATACTGAAATAGGACTTGATTTTACAAACTCACAAAGCTTTTACTGATTACATCAGAAGAACAGCATAGGCTTTAACCAGAAACAGAACTTGATATATGATGCAGAACAAAACACCTGTGCTTTTGGTGCTGCATTGGCTGTTATGGTTTTATTCCTGTTACTGGCTTGTTCCCTGCCCAGTGCAGCAAACTTTATCATCTTAAGTACTAGCTGAATTGATTGAGAAGCTGTAAGAAAAGGACCACATACTGGCTTAGTTTTTATGTACAGTGTGGTGGTTACCTGGCTGGCATGAAGTTCAGCACTTCTGTCAAAAATATGGATGTTCAAGTTACTTCTCCTTAAAATGCCAGAGCCTGAGTAGAGGATGTCAAGGCTGTATGTGGAGGATACATCAGGACCACCTTATTTAAAAGAGAAAGAAGGTACCTGTGACTAAACTAGTGATTTAATCAAATGTTTGGGAATACAAGCAGGGTTAAAAGGCAATTTCATGGTTACATACGTGTAATATAGCCAGAGTAGGCAGAGGAGGAGCCTGTCTTGGAGAAGCGTTCGTAGTTATGAGCACGCATGTCCTTCAGAACTTTCCGAACTGTTTTGCTGTGGTATTTCAAAACAAACAAACAAAACCATTGAGGTACAAAAATTTTACAGTATCAAATGTATTACTTCTCTGTAGAAACATCAAATTTGAGAGAGGGTGAATTTCCCAGGAGGAAAGAGGGTCTTCAAAACCCTTACCTTTTCCCACTAAAAATCTGCCCAATTTCTTTTCCAATTTCAGCTACTTCCTGCAGTCATAGGAAGAAAGGCAAGCAAAGGTCTTGATTGAAAATTAATGGTTTTGAGAAAAAGAGATATTTTGATATCTCAGATATTTATGAATTTGATAAATATTTGATATTCGAATTTGATATCTAAGATATTTACGGAAAGAGTAATCGGGCATTGGAATGTGCTGCCCAGGGAGGTGGTGGATTCACCATCCCTGGAGATTTTCAAGATGAGACTGGATGTGGCACTTAGTGCCATGGTCTAGTGACCACGGTAGGGTTGGACTCGATCTTTGAGGTCTCTTCCAGTCTGGTTGACTCTATGATTCTATGATTCTATTACTATTTTCATTCTCACGTTGTGATGAAATTTTCAAGGTCACTGGTTCTTAAAATATAAAAGCAAGGGACCCACTGAAAGAACTAAGATCAACAGAGGACATTTCTCACAGTAATGCAAGTCAGATGCCTAATTCTTATTTGTACCTGTGAAAATGTGAATAGTTACTGAAAGAATGCCATTGAAATTAAGGGATTTATTCAGAAAAAAATACTTAGAAGTGACATGAAAATCAGGTATCCTTTTATACTCTCCTTAAATTTTAGTGATTCATTAGAACCTGTGTGTTCTTTGGGTTTCTGCAAGGAAGTAAAGAATGGCTGTATTTATTTATACCGAACTTAATGTACCTTGAAGGCATTTCAAAGTGAAGTATATCTTGGATCATGGAGAGCATGTACTTGTTCATTTCCATAGGCAGTTCACCAATGGAGAGCAGGATGTTTTTCACTTCCATGTAGGATGGGTTACTGTTTAAGATGATAGCAGCTGCAGTGGTTCGCACTGTCTTTTCATGGACTTTACGATTCTGGTGGTATATCCTGTTCATTGTTTCCTTCACCTGGTCAGGAAATACATTATTCACTCAATGCTCACACGGATGACTGGGCAAAGTACAGATTGGAATCTTGTTTATAATATCAGCTTAAGTTAGCTTCATAGCTAAGGGCAATACCTAATAATATATTTTCAGCACCCTGTTTTTCATGGTTCTTTCAGAATGTGCGAGACATGTATAGCTCAGTGATCACAAGGACAAGGGGGGCATCTGTTATGTTATGTTCTCTCAGCTACAGTCCAAATACAGCCTTACACACTGGTTTTCACAGGGAGTCTGTAAATAGTAGGAGCACTGAGATCAAATTAATGTGGCAGTGGTAAGATCAAGGAGAGATCTCCTTGACTGTTAAGCAATAAGTACTTTTAAAAAGTCAAGAATCTTGCGATTTTAATTTTCTAGATAGTGCCTGTGGTGGCCTCATGTCCATGAGAAGATTGAGACACATCTTTGTGGCAGGTAAGTCCACGGAAAGCCACATAGCCCCATAGACAGAATGGCCTCTAGCATGTTCATTGCAGTACAGCACCCTGACCACCTCAGTCGTGGTGGCTAGCAGTAAGTGTGAAACAGGACACAGGGTGATGCAGCAGAGGCAGGACCTCATGTTCTGCTATTTTGTATGTCTTCTGTTACTTTTGATGGCTGCAAGGTAAGATGCAGCTCTTTTACCCTTGTCTTACTTTGTGCATTCTCTCTGGCTACATGAAAGCACAAGAAAGAACAGGGATTGCAGGGGAGCCCAAGTATTCCCTCTTGTGAAGGGAGCCCAGTTCTCCCTGCAGACTGCATGACACCCTTGATGGCTGTGTGTGATGCTGGAGCCAAAGGCTGACTAGCACACATCCACCAGACCATCCCTTGCCTTCAGCATGTTGACTGTGCCACACAGCTTGGTGTCATCAGCAAACTTACTGAGATTGTACTCAATTCCACTGTCCATATTGCCCATGACGTGAAATGAACTCTGTTAATTTATCCTTTACGTTTAATACAGTGTCTTGCACTTCTTTTCTTGGGCAGTATATTTTCTTACCTCTTTGGTGAGAAAAGAAGGATCATATCTCTGTAAGGCAGTGGTAGCAAGACTGCTAATGGGCCCTTCCTCTGCCTCAGCATACTTCAGCAGCAGTGGAATTGCTTCAGGAAGAAGTGCATTCTTCAGTGCCAGCAGGTACATCCTCACATTGTCATCTTTCTTGGCCTTCTCCAGTCTATTTAGAATCAACCTTTTGGCTTCCAGAACAGCCTAAAGAAAATCAACAGCACATTTAAATTGTGATCATAAACCTGCCCTTTCCCCTCACAGAAGTAAGAGGGGCAGGGCTGGGTTCTAGCATGGTTTTGTTTCAAAACATCATTGCACAGCGTTAGCAAAGGTGTCATTTGCAAACTGTGTGTCGATGGCTTCCTTCAAGCATAACCAAAGTGACTGCAGCCATGGTGACCCCTGATCTGTAGTTTTATCACTTGCTAGCTGCTCCTGCTAGCAGTTCAGGAACTTCACTGGTCTTCCTTGTGGACTCAACATGTCACCACAAAAAAAGACATGGGAAGTGTTCTTTAGTGCCTCATAACGTAATGTTAAAAGAGTGCTTGGCAATCAACAAGGGAAATTAAAAGGGATTCTTAGGGCCCATTCAGGTGCTCTGTGTCCTTTCAGCAGTGTGCTGCAGTCCCAAACAGCACAGATCCAGCAGGAAGCAGTGCCTTGTGTGATCACCCTTGTCCTCTACACCAGCATCTACTCAGACCATGATCAAAGTAATAGTCTTCCTCCTGGGCTTTTCTATGCATGTCTGGGGCACAGCTGAGTACTTGAACCAATGAATTTTCTTCACAGAGGTCAAATAACCTAAGCTGATTACAAATATTAAATAGATTCTGAGTTTGTCAGTGTCTCTCTGAGGACATGCAAAGCTTTTGGACAAGGAAGCACTGCTTCTGCTGACAGACTAGGCAGTGAAAAAAAAGTTCTGTCAGACAGGGGAAAACTGGGAGAAATCCACAAAAATGGGAAGAGAACAGATTAAAGCCTAAATCTGACAATGTAGGTATCATTATTAAAAAAAATAAATCCTTCCCTTATCAAACATAGGAGTTTATTGGCTTATTATAAGCAGGAGAATATGCTTCCTATGTCTCTCATGTCCCAGTTGCATCATCAGGGATCATTCACACGTGTTGCAGACCAGAATTTGGCCAGCAGTGAACAGCACATACTCACTGGAAGCTTGCAGCCTCCTCTGTCACACAGCTTTCTGATGAGCGCTCCCATGATGATGACAACAGTTTCTCTGATTTCTTCATTTGCAATATCACCCTTGAACTTATCCTGTTATGCAAAAGCAATGCTGTTAGTCTCTCTGTTTAAATATGATAAACCACGGTCTGTAGTGGGTTGAACACACTCCTTCATTTCCTGTGGGCATTAGTGCAGTGCAAAGGCAGTGATTATCACAACGGCCTGGGCTCAGGCTAAGCAGAGCACAGATCTATCATTACATATAATACCCGACTGCCATTTCCCCCTTGAGTGACATTCAGTATCTCAAATAGTAGATTCACTTTGTACCTATGTTTTAAAAAAAGAGTGTATTAAATGGCTACAGGACTTTGATAAGGCAACAATCAAACAATCCTCAAATTGTTTTCCTAGCATTCAGTATTACGTTTCTTTTCCAAGCAATATATATTGACAACATTTTACAAAGTAAATAGACTTTCACTTTGCACCTATGAATTTTTGCTATTTGCAAGCTATATGTTACTGGCACACATAAAGGAAACCCTGGAAGACATAAAGAAAGGAAAACTGGAAACAGCAACAGTCATTTCTTCTTCTCTTCGCCTTTAACTGTGATGAGGGTCAAGAGTATTAACTCAATTGTATTTGCTTTGTCCTTTGACTTACAGTTAAAGACTTCAGGAGCATTTCATTGGGGTGAGAAGCAAATCCACAGGCATACAGAAATCGCTCCTGCAGGACAAAAGTGCTTGCATCCTTAAAGTCAAGAAACTCCAGTATGGCCTCCAGCGATTCTGGGGTCTGAGCAGAGGTTACAGCATCCACCATCTGTGGACTACAAAGAAGTGGAAATGAACATATCATTGTAATGAGCTGGACAACACTGAAAAGACTTTGCTACATATTGAAAGAAAGAAGCTAATGAGCTCAAAGATCTCTTCATTGCAGGTAAGAGAAGCTTTTACTCTTGTTGGAAAAAAACTGGGTCTCTGAATTCTTCCACCTCAAAATGGTACACAAACTCTAGAAATTAATCATACCCATAGATAATATTCGAATTTATGCAAATAGAGGGCCAAAAAGTATTAAAAAATAAACTATCTCAAGTGTATTAAAGTTTACAGGACAAGGTTGCAAATATAAAAAAGTGGTTTAGTACTGCATATGCAATGGCACATAGAGAAAAGACTTCTATGCTACCTGAGCTACTCTTGGGTTTATCCCTATTGATAACAACTGCTATAATTTGTTTGAAAGATCTTGATCATATGGTAGGACTTGGGAATGCTTTTCAACTCTCAGGTCTAGGTGTGCATGCTGTTCACAACCAAACTCTAACATTAGAACAGCATGAACCTTCCCCTTCTTTGCTGTATTTCCAACTGCAGGAAACAAATGGGTAAGTCAAGAACAAGTGTTTCAGAATAGTTGGGGTAAGAAACTTTGGCTAAACTACAAAGCCTATTGGTAGTTGGCAGTTACAATCCTGGTGGCTGAAGAGTGTGCTGAAAATATATTGTAATAGAAGAATAAACACAGCTTTTAAAAAAAATCCTTTTCCTGTAGACAGAACACTGTGTAGACAGAACACTGGTTTTGCATTGCTAGGACATCACCAGTGGAACCAAATCTCTTTGTGTGCAATTTGCCCTTCTGCAGTTTTAAGTAACTTAAACCTTTTGAAAGCTTGTTCATGATAACTTACAGAAGTTCTTTCTTTTCACTTCTAATAATTTGCAGTATCTCCTCTTTTGTAGCTTTTCTGATGCTCTGAATGAAGGACAAAAAGCTTTTTGCTGCTGTAGCTGTGGAAAGTTTTTCAGGTTGCATATGTTCTCTGATGCTCTGCCAGTGATCAGAAAGCTGCAAAACAATTCATATTCTGTCAAATCTCTCAGACTGTGGTTTCAGTTCTCAAAATCAGACTTACTAGATGCAACTATTGCTCAAATTAGTTGAAATCCAATAGACTGGTAACCATTTTGCTAAGTATTATTTAACCTATGATATCCCATCACAAATATATTTGAAACCTTTCTGTAGATGCCTCTCTTCCCACACTTTAGTATTCTCCTGGTATTGTACATTACCTTAAATGCAATCTATTTTGGAACAAAACAAGTTCATTTATACTGTAACTGGAATAAAACAAATTCTCTCCTGTTGCAAATTTACTGTGCTTCATGATGAATGTGGTGTTTGCCCTCTGTTCCCATTTTTTCCTAAGTTTTTTTTTAAAGTGGGAGATGCACAATCCCCAGTCCACAAATTAATCATTATTTCTGAGAAGATGGTAATTTTGTAAGTGATTAGTGTAGAACAGGACTAAATGTCCAGTAAGCAATTCCCATTTTTTATTCATAAACCTGCATACAGGGGGATTTGTAGATACTGTACAAAATAATAGGTAAGATGGTATTAGAACAGGTATTGCCTTCTTCATATGTTGCTGTATTTATTTCTGCACATTTTTTTACCTGAATGAACCAACATGGTACCACAGCACTATATCTGTCCTTCCAGATACACTACCATAAGAAACTGGTGCTGGTATTTTGACCTGTCCTCTCTCACTTGCCTTTGCCTCTGTTATCTCAAATTATTGAGAACATTCCTTGGTGAAAACTCAGCTGTTCTTTGCAGCAGTGTTTACTGCAGTTTTCCTGAGTGGGAAATAACACTAGCACCCGTTTGACCTTTACTAAAATACTTCCCCTCTTTGTGGATTTTGTATTGGGCAATAACACTTGAACCTGCTGGCAATTAAAAGTATCATTCATCAGTACAGAGTGCAACTTCCATCAACTGTAACAAACAATAATTAGGCAACAATGATTGAGACATAGGATATTTCCTGAGGATTAATGACCAGTTGGAAGAAGCTCATGTTCTGAGGCACAGGTGGGTCTTTTAACCTCAACTGATGATTAGTGCTTAGCACCAAGGTCAGTGTTGCTATTATAAGCTGAAATTGGATAAATAGATGGGGCACTTTCCATTCCCCCAGTTGAAGTTGCACCATAGTCCACCAAAAAAATCTCTGACCTCATTAATCCATAATCCCAGCTGTGTGGGCTGCTCTTAGTCAGTTTAGCCCATTCCCTAGAGACAAGCAAGATGGGAGATGCAAGCTGGAGCCAGCTCTAGCGAAAGAGAGTGGGGACCAAGTTTTCCTCTTTGCAGGGCACTTTAACCATTCAGCTGCTACAAGGAGCAGCTGCCATCTCCTGCAGTGACCATGGCATTAAAAACAGCACTCACAACTGACCTTTTCAAGGGCCCTCGTGCTCCTAATGTGAATGTCAGGCAGTTTGGATTGAAAAACGCAAAGATTCAGGCACAAGATGCACACACTTCCACATGACAACTCAACAAGCTTGGACATGAATCTCTGTGTCTCTGACAGAGAGATGAGACTCTAGGGCACTCTAGGAAAATTCCATCCAAACCAAGAGGTTCTAAACTGAGTAGAGGTTGATTTTAAATGTCACTGCTTGACAGCTGTTTACCAGCATACAAAGGTTGGCTGCACTGGACAGAACAAACCTACCTCGGTTTCAGAAGGGGCAAGAATACATTCCTGTAGGAACCATGAGCATAAAAATGTAAGAACCATGAGCTCTTCTGAAAAAAAGCATGCTTTATGGTGTCTAAACACAGAAATCGAGGCCTAAATTTAAATGTAAATGTTTGCCATAACCTCACAGAAGCTAATGTTGCCAACTGTGAAATGAAGACAGTAACAGTTATTTTACCAAATTCATAAAGATAGAGATAAGACCTGTTATGATTTAAAAAGGGCTTTGAAAATGTAAAACTCTTAGGCATAGCATGTCAGCAGGACATTAATGTATACTATGATATATAAGTACCAAATGTTATGTTGCTGCTTTGGATACAGTGTTCTGTTTATAGACCTCATCTTTTCATAGCAGTTACTGAAAAATACAGTGAGAAAGCAGGACTTCATTCTCATCGTGCCATTAGGTTTATAATGACACAGCTCAGTCCCCAGGCAGTGCTCTGGAATTATACCCTATGTTTGTTATCTTGGTCTGGAAATTATCTCTATAACTATTATGACAAACTCAGTTCCAAGTGGCAAATTGGTCAGCACAAACCCCAATGGGCAGAGACAGGGAAAAAGCACCTGTCCCTACTCTGTTTAAGATCCCTTGATGTTTCCTGCTCAGAACTGCTCCAGCACACATCCAGCATCATTTCTATATCATTTCTCCAACCTATTTTTTAGTCTCCTCTGTGGCTCAACAAGAATTAGACAGGATAAAATATTACAGTGTAATGCTACTTCCAAATAACTAGCACAAGTTTCAATATAGGAAGGCATTTGTGCTCAGAAGGAGTATCTCTGGAGGATTATGTGTGCTGAATAGAATCTCTATCTTGCTTATCAAAAACAGAGAATAATGATCTTTAAATTAATGTTCCCATTCACTTCTGAATTCATTCCACAATGATGCATTTACAGTACCATGCTCTTAGTAGTCTTCAAATGTTCTAAATATTAAAAAAAGAACATTTGTTTTTCCAGAGAAAAATGAGAACATGATTGGACTTCCCAAAAATACTAATGCCTCATTTTATACTTATAAATATCTATAAAGTCTTTTAAATAAAAGACCCCCTCAGTAAGAAGAGGCTACATATATTACCAATAAATGTTTAGCCTGCCTAAGGAATGGCTAAGGAACTTTAATTTGCAGGAACAGTTCAGGTCCTCCATGACAGAACTATTCATAAACACTGGACAACCATCTTAAAAGTAATGTCCCATTCAATTATCCAGAGGAAATAAGCTCCTGCCAACATAAAGCTGGCAAAGGTGAGATAAAACAAAAGGGTATTGTATTTTCTAGTGGTCTTGAGAAATACTGCACTTAATCTTCAAAAGAGAGCAGAAAGGTCAGTGCTTTTAGTGGTAGAGCTTAAAACACCCTTGTGGGGTGGAGCACCATTGCATCACTACCACACTCCCCACTCTGTGGTGTATTTCATATTGCTACATTAGACCTCTCCTAGTTGACTGCTTGGACAGAAACTTCTTTTCACGCTTGTTGTGCTCAGCTAACTGCCCTGACGTCCAATGAACCTGTGTTTACTTACTGAAGGACACTTTTTGCATTTGGATTTCGCTGGCTCTGCTTCTAGTGGCACAGCAACAAAACTGGAGTCCAAGGTCTTGATCACACTGGCAACTTGCTTCCCAGCGATCAGTCCAGGGCCAGCTTGTACTGACTTCAGTTCCAGTCTCTGCCTGTGTATCCATAAAGTGAAGACACCATTAGAGCTCAACTGTTAGTGCAGAAATGCAGAAATCACAGCAAGAAGAAACAAAGCCCTCCACAGACCAAAAATATAGAACACAGACTTACTGAAGTCTTATTTTTAAAATGTTCAGAACATGGCAAGTCTATGGGGTAGAAGTATCTGATACCAGCAGAATTAGTGCTAGAGCTATGTGGAATAAAATACCTAAATAAGAGACTTCCTAAAGCATGGATTTATAGCACCTGATAAACAGCCTTCAGTAACCATATAAATCCTGAAATGTGTCATATATTTGTTCTTAAGAAGATCTGGAAAGTGAGATTTTGAATGTACTTTTTTAAAAAATATCTAATACTTCTGAGATGCCCGAATCATTTATCTTGTATGAGTATCTCCAGACTTTCAGTGTGTTGGAGTCTAACACAAGTCTAGGTTTCACTGTTGTTGCCTTTCTATGTAGCAAATTTTGTTTTCTATACTTCCAAATTCTCACACGCTAGAAACAAAGATCCATTGGAAGTATTTCTTAGCAATTATAAGACAGAGAAACAGAACACCTATAGCACTAATGGATAGCTTAAAATGTTTTGGCCACTTCCAGCTGTTTTCATGTCATTTCTTATGAATGCCGTTATTAATTATTTGTGGTGTGGTGTGGTGGAATCCTTAATCAGAGTTGGACTAGGCACCATATGGATACAAAAGAGACCTAAATCCTTATCTGGAGAGTTTACAGCCTTGGATCTCGATACTACAAATACACACATATAACCTGACTTGAACCACTAGTCCTGCCACCATCAATGGCAGTCAAATTGCCCAACTTACTTTGAAACTATTTTGGCACCTGTTTTTCGTCGCAAGTTCAGAACGAAAACATGATTTTCTTCTGCCTTAATGGATTTAATGAAACTATCTTCCAGCACATAAATTGTGGCAGATGTGCCTTTTGTACCGACATCTAAGATCTGAAAATAATTAAAAAATAGAACAGAAAGAGAGCTATTCAATAAACAACAAAATATGAAGAGAGCTCACAGTTTCAAATCAGTACAAGGCTTGTAATGATATAGAGCCACAAGGAAGATATATGTGGGTGGACAACATCTCAAGCTAAGCCTATAAACCAGGTTCTCAAGAGTTCCCCCTGAGTAAGAAGCCACTCACTTCTGCACCATGTCTTTCAAATTCAGTATGTACCAGGGGAAATAACAAGGAGAGGAGGGAAGGAAGTTATGGAGCAGGCTGCAACTGAGAAAATGTCCAGTACTACATTTAGTTAAAAAATCACTTTAAATAAAATGAGAAGCTTTTTCAGGTAAATATCTTGTAAATGAGATTGTCCCGTTCTTACTCAGGAAGCAAAGCCAGCCACCTTGCTTAATCTGTTTTGTAAACAAGAGGAAGTCTTTGTGCTAAGTGTGAAAATCAGGAATTCAGACACAGTGTTAAGGCAGTTTATTAACAGAGTGTGTGCTGCCTTTGTACTTCTCTGAGCTGAGAAAGGTCAGTTTCTGATGCAGTGTCTCCAGCATGTGTCCAGCCTGCACTCAGTAGTAACTGTTTAGAAAGGCATTTACTAGTAATGGAGGACTATTAAGGTGATAGTACAGCTTCAGTTACCTCTATGGCACATCTGCTATATCACACCTGCCCATTAGGGAAGCCTTTGACCTTCCAGGCAAGCCTGACTGGGCTCCATTCAGGAGTCAGCATCTTGCCTGGCATTTATGCAAGCTGGGAAGAAAGTGGCTGTTATCACTATGACTGTGTCTGTACCTAGGATTTTTCTTCAAAGAAAAAAAAAGGAAGCCTCACATCGATTCAAACTTCAATACAGCCAGGACATAAGTGCTGTTAAACCTATATAGAAACTAAAATATGTTACCACGAGATTCAAAAACTATGTGAATTAGTATGCTGTACTCAATGTCAGCTGAGCCAAGGTGGTTTACACAAGAGGGGAATCCATTCCCTGTTCTCCCCATGAGAACTACCTACGAAATTTGAGCTAGTAAAACTACAAAATTTACATGTAGAATTTGATTTCTGTTACACAAGAAGGACTTTTGAGAAGATGAGTAACAGCTGCTAAGAATATATTTTAAATGGGAATTTAAATTTATTGTGTTAAAGAAATCATACCGGGTTGTGGCTGGTAAAGCCTTGCTTTTCTGTTTCACAGGAGTCCAGGTCTTTGATTTTAGTCACTTGATCTTGACGCACATGGTAAGTAGTATTGCATTTCCCAGAAATGTCCACCTTGGAAAAAAGAGTTGGATTAGGACAATTTCTTGAATTTATCTTTGGGACCCCAGAACACCTTCCAAAGCTGAAGCATTATCTCCACTGTCAGAATCCCATACCTGAGATGCTGTGCTGTTTGGGTTTATTTAGCAGTTTTGAGAATATCAGTGTTTCTAACTACCTGCTTTGGATTGGCAGGGGTACTATTTGTTAGATGGCTATAAAGAAAAGTAACAATGTTTGTTTAAACAAAAAATTTAGGAAACACCTGGCAGCTGGCACTATATTCACGATTTGAGTTTCATTCCAGCTTTGCTCCGGTGAACACATGTAGAAATTTAACAATGTAACACAAGTTGAATGGATGCAGCTAAACCAGCACTAACTTTGTGTGGATACTCTGTTTGATTTAAAATAGCCTAATCCATTGAATTGAATTTAGGAATCAGCCAACTTTAAACATCAGTATAATCTCTTTTATAGTGACCTAGTTTAAGCTGATTTATTACCAAATTCTGCTAAATTGACAAAGGCATTTTAAATCAAATGGATTTCACTACTTCTTTACATTAATTGCAGCAACTTGTGTCACCAAATATTCAAATATTTATGTGTCCAATCTCAAATGTGATGAAAGGGCTGATTTCTGTCACAGTTCATTCCTTGTGAGGTCAGCAGCAGCCACAGGTCTGCCTTTCAGAGCAGACCAGGCTCTGCCTGTTTCTCTGATGATGATGATCTTGTCTGATATAGCACCATACCTCACGGACAGATCCAGAGTGCAGTTGTAGCTGGAAAAGGCTAGCCAGACCTCTCTTAAGATTTTGAGTAAAACCAGGTTCATTTTGATACGAGTAGAAGGTTTTCACCTGTAGGAATCAGAAAAAAAAAAATGTATATAAAAAGTATTCAGAAGTGTGTAACAAATGTGGTTAAATGAGAAAAGAATAGTGAAGATCCGCTCTAGAAAAACTCTCTTTACTTATTCCTGATTAGGAAGCTGAATTTGGATCTGTGAGCCTTGTTTAAGCAAACTCCAGGGGCTTCAGCGCCTGCTGATAACAATACAAACATGCTTTGGCCTTCAGTTGAACCTAAGCACAGTTTCAGTGCAGGGAGCATCTTTCCCTCTGTAACTAGAGAGAATTTAGAAGGGAAATAGGAAACTACATGACTTCACAAGCAACTAGTTTTTCTGCATAAACCTCAGATAATTCCTCCCCACAGGGACATAATATCTGTTGCACTTTAATCACAGGTTACAAAAACTCAGAATGAATCACAGATAAATCGCAGATAGAATGACTGAAATGACGTGTCGAATATATCACAACCTTTGCACTTCATGGGTCAACTGTTGTGCTTGAGCCTCTCCTCTGGTAACAAGACTTTGCACCTCCACTTTGCATTCAAGGTGCTTTAAAAGTGCACTTTTCTCAGGAACTGTAAGTACAACCAGCCTGTTATCTTGGGCCAACCCTGGAAAGTGAAATCACTGTGCCAGGGATGAAAGTATCACACCACAAAGAAATCATAAAAGGTCTGTACAGACCCTGCTACAGGAGAAAAAAGCTCAAGTTTTTAATACTACATCTCAGCCTTAGCATAATGTATTAGGAGCAAATGCATTCTGTGTTCTTCTGATACCTCTGTTCTCATCTGGGGATGTGTATGGTTCAGGGCCAGTGCTGTCCTGTTTCTTTTTATGTTGTGTAAAACTGATGACAAGGCTGAGTCTGAAAGTTACTGAGCAAGCCTGATAGCAGCTGCAATTCAGCAGGCTGAGCTGGCGGCTAGGGTATGTGCTCAGTGCCTATTTACAGCAGGAGGTAAAGATCCTGCTGGGATAGAGTGTCACAGCCCTTACTCCACTCTGCAGAAGGGAAAAGGGAGTGTGACCTTCAACCTTCCTCCTTTCTCACAGCCCCTCTGGCCATGCCCCACCTGCTGAGCATTGCTCAGTCTCCAGAGGGGAGAGTGAGCCTGTTGGCCTAATGCAACAAGAGACAGGAGCGTGACAGAGTGTGGATAGGAGGCAGGAGCAGCCATGGCTTGAGCCTTGGCACTCCCTGAGCAGAACAGCAGGCTGAGCACAAGGGAACACGAGCAGCTCTGCAAGGAAAAAGAGGGTGAGATGGATGTACTTGAATCCCCTCCTCAGCAAAACTGGGACTCTGAGAGCTACAACTGGACATGGGTGCTCCTGAAATGGGACAGTGCCCTGGTGCTCTCTCAAAGTAGTCTATAAAACCCATGCATGTGCTGAGACACACCTGCCCTCTGACCCTTCTCTGCTGATTTTTGGAGACAGTTTCCCAGTGGGGGAAGAACATGTAAGGCTATAACTCTTTCAGCATCAAATTCTTTAACTTGGGACTCTTGAAACTGCAGGTGACAAATAAGTAAATGAGCAAACTAGAGAGCTGGGAAAAGCAGTCATGCTAAAATATTTGATAAGGGTTTAAAGTGATTAACACTTTTCCTCACAGACCCAGTATAACATTCCTCATGACAAACTGCATCTCCTCTTCTGCCTTCAGAGCTTGGATAAAATCCTGGCCTCACTGAAGTCAACAGCACAAATCTTTCACAGCAATTGTGCATATATATGCATGTGTACCTATATATTGTGGCCAATCTGCTCTTTAATACCATACTGTGTGGTGTTCTCAACACACAAGAGGCTTGAACTGGAAGGGACCTTTGTACAGGTAAATTACAACCTGTTCTAAACTATTTTATTTCACATAGCAAGATTGGGCACACTTATTTAAAAACACTGAGTGAATAGCGAAAAGGTAAACTCTCCAAGTCTGTAAGACAAGATTTGTCTCAGGTTTCCTCAGGGATTTAATTTTAAAAGACAGGGTCTTACTTTTCCACGGACTAGCTCAAGCACCATGGGCCTCTGTAAAGCTTCCAGATATTCTTTTCCGATGATCTTCTCTGTGCTTTTTCCTTTGAAGATGTTTTTATCAGCTGGACGTTCATTCACATTTTCAACCTGAACATCTTTTATCTAGCAAAGTAAAAGCAGAGAAAAATTCATGTAGAGAGCAGTCTAGTATTGGCCTGGGGTAGGGTGGATAGACTAAATCACATAATAAATAATTTTAATTTCTTCCTTTCTGGTTCTGATCATTAATCTTGCATTATTACTATGTCTATGTTTACAAAACAAGCCAATTCTACCCACTAGGGAAATAAGTGGCAGAAAAACTCACCATAAAGCTAAGTACCAAACCCAGTTTGTATTCAGCAAATGTCATGATTTGCAGCTAGAACCAAAGACTTCAGTCAATCTATTGCCACTTGGATAGGTGTTTGCACACCAGTTGTTTGAAGCTATAGAAGCAGTATGAAGCAATTTCAAAATATTGGATATATTCTGAATTTCTGGTATATGATGTGAGATACATACTTGTGAAATCTTATTCTATAGGAATCAGCTTATCAAAGAAGCTGGGTTTAGTTGGTGAGACTAGAGAATAAAAGATTTAGCTTATGTTCTGAAAGCGAGTTCTCTGAGATTAGCAGTTAAATGCAGAAGTTTGTGCATGTTTTAAGTTGTCTGATGGCAATAATTACCATAATTTTGATCAACTGGTCATCATCATTGTCGGGATTTCTCCATAAGAGGTTGACATCCACACCAGAAGAAATCCGATATCCTGCGCTTTTCTGCAGTGATGCTTTCACCCGATCAACATACACTTCAGCTGAGTAAGCAAACTTATATAGCTTGTCATTATTTAAGCTTGGTCCAGTAGTGTGCCCTGTTTGGAAAGCAAAAACAAACAGTGTTTAAGAATTGACTAACACACATAATCTATCATTTTCTCTAAAACAACACCTTTAGAAAAATTTAAAATTTCATCACTCACAGAAGATTTATGGGACTGATCCTGCTACCTTTCATTACAGAGGCTGTCTCACTGGAGCAGCTGGAGTTTTTTTGTGATTAAGTTGACACAGATAAAAATGGTCACAAAGTCCTTTGTTCTAGCTCTACACTTATAGAAATAAAAGAGTGTCAGATTCCTTTCTTTGGATATGTTAGCATTAGAAATTAATCCAAAATTATTTGCTACTCAAAATACTATAGTTAATCATGAAATTTGTGTGCTTAGCAATGTGAAATGCACTAATGTAATTTGTTGGTGCTGCCAAAAATTGTTCTATGCATCTCTTGCACATTTATTGGGAACCTTTCCATTGAGTCTTGCTCAGGAGTGACATGAATGTAAAGAAGACATTGAGAAAATATTTTTTAGATTAAATAATTAAGCTCTTGTTCTTTAAATAATTGTCCCCATAGCTGTGCCTCTGCTGTTAATTGATGTATTTTAAGGGATATAAAGGCAAATTCTATTATAAATTCAACTTGCATAGCCCATTTATTGTGCCATTTCCATGTGCATTAACTCGGAAAGACTGTTCCCTAGGCATTCAGTTGTACTCTCATTACTGTAAATTGAATCTGTAGTATATACATGAATTTTACTTTTTCTCTGTAAATCTACTTACTACCACACCCTTTCCTATCTTCTCTTTATTTTCTCTCATGCACAGTCATGTGGGCAATGTGTGGCAGCACCAGCACAACTATCTGCCCAGCCTCAGGAATCAAGATTGTGCCCCTAAAATCCATGATCAAGGAAAATTAATATCTTCTTGAATACCCTTTAAATATTTTGTCACAAAGGGTATACATTCCTTTTTACTGCTTTCAAGGGCTTGCCTCCTCTGGTGTGGGTGGCTACAAAGTTCTCTTTCACACAAGGAAGGGAAGGGAAGGGAAGGGACTATCTGCCCAGCCTCAGGAATCAAGATTGTGCCCCTAAAATCCATGATCAAGGAAAATTAATATCTTCTTGAATACCCTTTAAATATTTTGTCACAAAGGGTATACATTCCTTTTTACTGCTTTCAAGGGCTTGCCTCCTCTGGTGTGGGTGGCTACAAAGTTCTCTTTCACACAAGGAAGGGAAGGGAAGGGAAGGGAAGGGAA